TACATTTTTGAAACATGTAAACGAACAGTTGTAAATAATGTACTCTGATTCCTAACTTTAAATCACCAATAAACGATTTTTTTATTTGAAAAAAAGGAAATGAAGTAATACGAATGATCCCAGTTACTAATTTCATCCAATATTATATACCACACCCCTACTTAATATGCCCTGACGTATTAGTATACATACTTTATATCTCTTGTTTAAAGAAACGCTAGCATTTAAAGTGTATTAATAAATATATAAACGATGAGGTATATGTAAATCCACGGTAGAGTTTATAAATATGTTTTTATTAATCCAGTACAATCACGGCAGGTACATTTGGATCAATTCTGGGATGTTGATGTTTGACCTTAAAGACGAGATTCCAGTCGAAGTCTTAGATGGAAGAAAGGAGAAGAAGAGGAGATTTAAATATACTCGAGACTGGTAAAATGATCAAATTTTGGATTATCAAATTATTTGCTCCATTTATACATACCCACCTTGTTTTATTTTTAAATAGTTTTCCTCAACTATTTGGTATAAACATTTGGCAACTCAGATTCACATATTAACAATACAATTTTGCATTTAACCTGCCTTTACATATAGATAGTTTTAAACACGTGTAAGTACTTGTCATTCTTCTAGAATCTAGAATCATGCCAGGATAATATAAATACGTCTAAATATCTAAAGAATAAAATATCACTAAATAAGTATGTCGAAATAGTTATAATTTTATTTTATTATATACGGCGTGTTATTTTTCATATACGCAATAAGAAGATAGTAGTTTTTGACATCATAGTTTCAACTAGTTAATTTAATTTAAAAACATAAAAAATAGACTTATTTAACGAAAACATATTTGATAGCATTGATGTAATGAAACAATTGAAAACAAATACTGTTTTTTATATTTAAAATACATTTCAAATACATAAACGTATAAAATTGAATTACTCCACACTAAAAACAAAAACATATGACATTAAAAATAAACCGAGGTGATCTTCCCTAAACTTTCTCGAATATTCTAATATAAAACTACGAGGGACGGCAACACAGGACATAGACAATATTTGTAATACATTTTTAATTACTTAAACTTTTTATAATAGAATAGAATCTCGTAAAAAAGAATTGCACACGTGAAATTTCATTTATCTATCTGAAATAGTACTCAAGTTATAGGCTTTTGAAAAATTCAAAGTAGAAAAAGTACCACTTCCGGTTATCAAAAATCACTCAAAAGTTGATCAGGATCTACGATTTTGATAAAATACTTATATCTGAAATTTCATCAACCTAGCTGTAATGGTACTCAAGTTATCGTGTTTACACACAGACACACAGACAACGGACATAATTGCAAAGTCCAGTTTTTACAACACGGTAACGCATAAAACGCCAAAATGTTTATATATTTGTATTTATAATTTTTGCCTGATTAAAATAAGTCCTCTATACTCCGGATGTGATGAAAGACTGAGGAGTAAAACGGTGAAAACTGTCAAAATTTCATGTTATTTTTGTGCACGATTACATTACTTTTTCTATACTTCGTATATACGAGAAAGTAAAAATGATTTGGTTACCAGCAATATATCGTAAAACAGATTTATTTGTTACTTGCATCGTCAACACAAATGTAAGGCTATGTTTCTTTGCCGTCTTTTTGCCAGCTTCAATTTTATCTCGTAGCAGAGCAGAAGATTCCTGCTTTTGCTAGGTTTTGGTCGAGTGGCTTGGCAAATACTGACCATTCCACTAAATGCACTCTTTATTCTTCAGACAGTACTACTATATTCGGTTTTTTTAAATCAATTGTCTCCAGAAAGCTGGAAAGCATGAATGTAAAATCCTCTAAATGTAAAGGTATTCAAAATCATCAATGCATTAATCCAAATTAGAATAAAACGAATAGTGTCTTGCACAATAAGCGAAGTTATTATTTTCTGGTACAATTGCGAAAACAATCATTATTAAATAGGCTAATTGATGCAGTTTTGTAAACTTAAATCAGTACGATTGTGTGATCACATATAATCTATTTGTATCTCCTTCGAATATTCAAAACAATTTTTTTTCCATATGTTCCTTACGTATACACATTTGTACATATTAAGTGTGTGCAGTTTATGTTTATTTTTAGAATGAGTCATATTTATCAGATATATAATCTCCTTCTATTATATCAGTGAACCCCCAGAGAAAAAACTGAACCTGATGGGTGAAAAGAAAAAACCTGCAATGAAAATATTTAAAGATTTTTTGCATGAACAACTGCAGAGTAGGTTTTATATTGTAATTGTGTTTCCTTTTTCAAAATGTATCCATCAATTTGTCAGTCTTGCAATCATGTATGTGAAAGACATTTCTAATCACCAAGTCTTACTATGAATTAAGATTGGTCTACTGACATAGTTAGGCGTTCTTTATATCAGATATTAACACCGCAGCTATTGATCTCTTGTAAACAGTTTACAAGACAACAGGAAATGTTGGTGACCGATATATCTATGTGGTGACGGGAAACAAAGGAAGAAATCCTGCTATAGGTCCTGTCATAAAGCCAGCTGTACAAGATTACTTAGACACTCATGGGTTCAAACATAGGTGATAAACATAGATTGGTGTTGTTATTTTGTCTGGTATTTCGTTTAAATTTATAAAATATGTTGTATTGAAATGTATTCATTATTCTATTTTAATAACTAGACTATACACGCAAATATTACACTAAAATAAGAAAAAAAAACGTGTGTAAGATAAAATGTACAAACAGGTAACTTGTAATATAGCTAGCTTTATATTTCAGACACAAGTGGTTTAACCGTGGAGGTCTGGTAATGATAGACCTAGAGGAGTCTGATGATCTTGAGGAACAAAGCGAAGAAGATGACTCAGACGGGACGGAAAACTTGTCGAAAACTAGCTTAGATGAACTTTGTTTTGAAGATACTTTCTCAGACTAAGTTGTATACCTTGATGATAACTGTTATATAATTATATGTATCTGTATTATAAGTGCGTGATAATTTTTTTCATGTTATGAATTTAATCGTAGCATTAAATTTTCGAAATAGATGTAGATTTTATTCAAAGTTATTTGTAGCTCCCAAAAAAGAAAATATATTAAAAATTGTGTTTTGTTTTTTTTTTAAATTAAAGTTATGTGTTTCTTATTGTCGATATTTTTAACAGCATTTAAAAATGCCAAAACATTTATTTTCAAAGAACTGTGTATTTTTTTAAATAATTGTACACAAATGACAATTTATGCAAATGCTAGTACAAAGAGATGCTCATTAACAACAAAAACAATAGAGTTGTAACAAAAATGAATTTCAGACATGAATTGAAATGATAAATACTGTTATTATTCTGCAAAAAAATTTCTACTTATCTGTATATTTAATAATAATATCATAATAATGTACTTAAAAATCATTACAATTTTTTTTTTATAACTTAAGATTTAATATTATGTTTTTAAAGCATCACTCAACGCAAAAATCAAACAAGGCTAGACTTATTTTTTAAGTATTAGCCACAAAAAGTTTTATATTCCACCGGTTCCAACTTAAGGGTCGCTAAAGGAGTCTAGGTATGTTTCATTGGGTTCGCAATCTTATACAGTTAACAAATTATAATGTTCGTCGTAGTTGGTTTGATGATTTACATTTGTAGTTTCTAGTTTCCAACACTACAATTTAATTAATTGGCATTTCCTAAAAAAATCGCAACATTTTTTAATGATCTTCTCTATATCGTTTCACATATATACAACAGTAATATTTCAATATAGAATTATGAAATACACATCACGGTTAGTCACTGGAGTAAACAGACATTTCTTTTTGTATTTAAATTCTCCCCCACTAATTTTTACGACATCTAAAAGATGTATAAGTACTGACATACTACATTCAGTATTCGTACAACACAAGATAATAAGACATGTAAGAATATATATATATATATATATATATATATATATATATATATATATATATATATATATATAGGGCCTATATAATTCTCTTCTTGGAGACGATAGAAAACACCAAGCTGTAAGCACGCCTCCTAGCAGCCCCCTCTCTTCCTCTCTAGGCATATCGCTACCACCCCCACATGATCTGGTGAGCTGTGGTTCAAGCTAAATGTTTACAATCGTAGATCCGTGTTTAGTAACGGCTATTAGGGGCATATACTTTAGTTTGAAACGATTTTAAACTTAGGGGAGGTAACTAAGAGGAGGCTGCTTTCACTGGGGGGGGGGGGTAGGGTAGAGGTGAGGGGATAGGTCAGTGGGGGGGGGGAGGGGGGTTATCGTCCATAACGACATACTCATAGTGCTTTAAAGCAAATATTTTCAGTGGCAGCATTGGTACTGTCAAATTCACAAATTATGAATTACTGAAAAGCAGAAAATAAAACAACTAGATGGCGGTGAATGCTACGTCGAGGGTCAGCTCGTTAAGATAAATTCCATAAAAATGAATCATAATAAATCAACTGCATGCTTGTTCTACAGCTAGCGCTATGAGTACGTGTATGTGTGTGAAGAAGTGTGTGTCATATGGGTGTGTTTGATAAAAATATTTACCACTTAAGCGGAGACCGGTAGTGAAAACACATTTTCTTACAAATTATAAGATACACACTTTTTTTGAAATTGTATTAACTTTAAAATACTTTCAACATTATAACACTATTTATTTGGGCCAATTTCTATATTTTTAGCGAAATTTGGTTTCAGAATGAATTCTTTTTTTGTACACAGTAGAAACAAAATAACTAAAACAATAATTAAAAACAATGCAATATAACGGCACATTCCTAGTAGACATGACAAGGTTAAAGGGAAATTTTGATATCTTACATTACGCAAATGCGATTTTGAAACAAAATGATAGCCAGCCTATAAAATGTTATATTTGTAATGTATGTGAAATATTAAAGCAAAATATAAAATGTGCTTTTTATATATAAGTGTAAAGTATTCAAGCTACTTGCTTTCCGTTGTTTGGCTTGCACCCGGCAAACAGCTCATGTAAAGTTGTTCTATATTTAGAACTCATCTTGTAGTAGAGCACCATGCTCACACTGGAGTTGAAGGCGTCCATGGCGAACCCAAAGGACCAGGTAACGAAGAAAATGTTGGAGTACTTGCCCACGACGTTAAAACCTGGGGCGGTGTAGACGGCTATGTTGATGACGACAGAGGGCGTGTAGCAGACGAGAAGGACGATGGCTATAACGATCACCATGGTGACGGTTTTTTGGTCTCGGGTTGATAGAGTATCGGACTGTTTAATTTCGTGTATCGATACTTTTCTCCATTTTGTTTTTCTTCTTAAAGTAATGATTAAAGTAATCGTGAAAATAATTAAAGCGGAGAACGATACGAGTATGTACGCGGCGTAGAGAAGGAAGGTTAGTCCGGAGAGTTTGTCGTAGTTTGTGGTGGGGACGAGACCAAGCAGGGATATGTTTTTATCCGGGTAGAACTTCCAGTCTATGTACATAGAGAGGTACTCTGGAGCTAGTGAGGTCAAGGGGAGAGCGTAGATGAAGAAGATGATGACGGTCGTTCGTCTGGGAGTGATGAGTCGCTTGACGGTCAATGGTAAGGTGATACACAAACAGCGTTCAGCGGTGACGTAGGTGGTGATCAGACAGGTGATACGGGCAAAACAGGCGTGAGGGAACCCACCTGTCAGGTGTACGAACTCAGACGCCACGATGGGGAGATCTGAGTTGACGATGTACGGGTTGGCGCGGATGTTGAACCAGAGTAGCGTGACAAGACTGCAGAGGTCGGAGACAGCCAGAGCTAGGAAGCTGATGTTGATGCTGCTGTTGAGGCCCTGCTTGTAGAAGACGACGATGTTGATGTTGTTGGAGACGATGCCGAAGAGCGAGAAAATGGTGCAGATGAAAACGTAGTTGACGATTTCGATAACAGCGCGAATATCTTCACTCAATAACTGGTTCCCTGTGTCTTCGTTTGAATGATAGCCAGTTTTGTTGAAATAGATGCTTATCATTTTGTTTAAGCTTCTTAGTTCAAAAACAAAAGAATAACAATAATAAAGTCGGTTGTATAATACTACGCAACACCGAGAACTATTTTAAAGATTTATTTATTATTTTGCAGGTTCTATTGGAAAGTGTATCAAATTTTAGTTAAACAATGAGAATGATGAATAAACCATCGTTAGATAATGACAAAGTCCTGTTATCTGTGTATGATAACTTTAGATTTATCAAATAAAACAACCAATAGACTTAGAAAACATGAATTGTGTTTTGAGAAGCACTGAATTTCAATTAGCTGTCTGAATAGTTAAAAAAACCTTCCGATACGGATTGACTAACTAACAATGCTTAAATCCTTAAAGTTAATGATGTGACCTTTTAGAAGTAGACACAATTATAAGAATTAGTCTACAAATTTTTGTCAGTGATGCACTGTATGTTCTATGAAGGCTCACAATACAGGATTGTTCAGAGGAATGTATCGAATTTAAGTATTGAGATGATCTCAGTGAGCAGCTCTGGATCAATCACTAATATTAATCGATAGATTTGTGGAAACTTGGACACGCATTCGCAGTAAACTTGTAACGAGATAAAAACTATCCAGAAATAAAAAAAATATTTTAATTATTTGTAATGATTGCTGAAATATAACTTATCTCGCAACTTGTGGTTGGAACATTCACTTTCGTTTTAGTACATTTAATAAACAGTTTAGTTAAACATAGACATTAAATGAATATTCAAAATCGGGTTATATATTTTTTGTGAAGTACATTCAGTTTTGTTTCTTTATAAAGTAAAATTGTCAAGCAATATTGTCTTCTTAGGTACATACATTTGTTGATATACAAATAAATGCGACGGCTATTTTCTGTTGTTTTTTTTATACCTTTGTGTATACCTTTAGTTTTGTAATACGGCCTTGCGGCTTTCATTGTTTGAATATTTTGCCTAAAATAACTTCTAACAGGAACAACCTATTGTTACCACATACGTCATTGTAAACAGGCGGGATGAGACTTGACTAACGATAAAACCACGACTAAAGTTACATTTATTGCCCTACAACTCGCATTAGTCAACTTCACCCGATGGCACTTAGCTGAACGTTTTTAACATTCATGCTTTTATTTCCTCCCAGTTCGAAATGAGTAATAGATATAATTAAATTTAGAAATTGATTCATTGGAAAAAGAATAAGCTTAATTAACGCAATTATCTCTTTATAATTAATTAGTAGGTACACGCATCAGGTGGTAATTGGTGAACGTCGATGATCCTAATTATGCATGGTGTTCCATTTTAATTAACGAAACAGGGAAAACATTGGACCTAACGAATCCTGCGTTGGTTTGCGTAATTACTAAACTAATTACGTTCCCTAATTATGCCTTGTTAGTATTCTAGAGAATTGTGTCGCATTTATTTAAAAATACACATATTTACCTGAGATTTTATTATATTTATAATTATATCGGATAATTGTTAGGATTGAATTTTTAAGCCGACACGTAGGATGGCATAGAAAATCAAAGATTCGTGAAGCCGAGAATAACATTAATTATCTTAAGACAAGCAGCGTACTAGTGTAATCAATTAAATAATTTTACATTTTAATATCGCAATATGTTTATAGTTCCTTAAAAAGTTAGTCCAGTTTTGATATATGATTTTTATAGGGCTTTAGGCCCACTAAACTAATCGTTGTATTAGGTGTACTTTTTTATTTTCTATGCAAAATACTTTACAAATTTCAGATTAAATATGCAAAACGCGTTTTAGTTACTTGACTTACTTGACTTAGTCCTCTTTGCTCCTTATGGAACATAGGGCCTCCACCATTTCCTTCCATTTCTTCCTATCCCCGGCTATTAATTTTGTCATCTCCCAAAACATCCCTGTTGGCTTCAGCTCTTCAAGAAGGCTACGTCTCCAGGTCTGTCTTGGGCGCCCTCTCTTCCGCTTTCCCTGGGGGTTCCACTCAAGCGCTTGGCGTGTAACATTTGGGTGAGCCTTTCGCAATGTGTAACCCACCCAGCGCCACTTCCTCCTTCTTATTTGCACTGTCAAAGGCTCCTGCCTTGCTTTTCTCTATAATTCTATGTTCGGCACTTTGTCCTGCTTTCTAGATTTCAATATCTGTCTAAGGCAACTGTTCATGAAGGTCTCTATCTTTGCCGCTTTAGTTACACAAAACCAATAAATACTCTAAAAGGCTGTTGTATTTGAAAGAACAGCGTCTAATACTCTAAGAACTGCTTATAATGGAAGATATTCACTTATCAGAAACCAATCATCAAAACGTTTAGCAACAAAAACTGGATGCTCCAATGGAAATGGATATACATTTTCTTATATACATTCTTGTTTATTTTAAAAGAGAAGTTGTGATCAAATGAATTAAAATCCTCAGTTTCTAGAATATGTAATAAATAGTGTATACATTTTTTTTTTAAGTGTGATGGTAAGAAGCATGAACAACGATTATGTACAACTTGTAACTATCATTTTTATATTTTTATTGCAGTTTTCTATTTGAACTATAATTCTGTAACATTAGCTCGTTTATTGTTATAGTCACTTCTCCCTAAATACAACAAAATTGCAATTTGAAAATAAAAATAAATTATCAAGTTCAGTTACCGGTTAGAGAACTGTAATTGACAATTCAACGCAAAAACCAAAAGTATATGATTTCCAACGACTTAGATTTGCAGGTTTTGGGATATTGAACAATTAGTAAATATTCGGGAATCAAAGGTAGAGTTTTAACATAACATATTGTAGGGGTCTAGCATTTTAAAAAGTGCCTATGCTCGTCTTATTTCTTAATAACTACCACCAAGCAGGTGAAATACCTTTCATTCTGGCTTTTTTAAAGAGTTTCCACCAGGCATAAATATGTACTTTAACAAGTTCCCCCCCCCCCCCCCCCCCACTTATAGTAAACTATAATGGAACATTTAATACACAGAGAAATGTTTTTGATTTCATAAATGTTTTCTAATAAAACTGCCATTTACCACCACGAGTTGTCTGCCCAAGTTATGCAATCTTGTGTGATGTGGTTAGTGTTGGATCAATGGACAAACTAGTTTTACTAGCTTGATGCTTGCGCACTATACATAGAACACGCAGTCGCGAAAGCTATTGATCCTGTTTATAACCAGTATTTCTTCTTGGGGGAGGGGGGCACTTGAAATTTTCGGTGGGGGGGGGGGGGACACTGTATAAAGTAGGACGAATTTTTATTACTTTGAGGTAATGCAGTGCCACATCATCATTATGAATTTCTGCAAAAAAAAAACAACTGATAAAGTAAAATCAATAAAAAAAAATATACTCTACAGGCTGCTTAAGAAAACAGTCGGTGAGAAATGTATCGATTTACTCCGTGCAATCGACAATATTGATCTCCTATCGATGCGTGACACTGGGCTTAGTGACTTGAATTTTTAACCCTAGCACGTTTGATGATTTTGACTAAAAGATGTGAAACAACGTGGTTCAGTATATAAAACAGTCAAAAATAAATGGGGTAAGAATAGCTTCAATAAACCTAAGAGCAATATACATATTTTTACTTTATCTAAATACTTGATGTTAACGACCAAACGATGTTTAGGCAAAAAAAAAAATAGAATCTTATAGAAAACTTCACAATGTCTGATACATGTCATGTACATTTGTTACAAAGAGTTTTACTTAATAAACAAATTTTATTAAACAATGAAGCAAATTATTTATCAATTGTTTTTGCTAAATGCTATTTAAGTATTTAGTAGAATAACAAAAATGTGAAACATTTTTCTAAGTTTCAGAAATAGAGCTCAGATAAAGATATCTTAATAAATTAGGTCTACCCCTACCCATCCCTTCTCATCAAAAAACTTTCGCCACACCCCTTTTCACTTCAACATTTTATTATTTAAGAAACGTGAAACATTACGTGTTTTAAACATTTTATGTGTTCTTTTTTTTAAGCAAAATGATCTGCTTTGAAAAGTTTAAAAAATTCGAGTATTTTAAAGAAGCAGGTCTATATAATAGACTATTTGTGTTGGAATGTTTGTCTCTAAATTATGTTATGATGTGTGTGATTTATTCGGACAAATTAACTTCACATTTAATGTAATGTAATGTAATGTGTGTTGGGTATATTCAGAGCTGGAGGGGGTTGGGGTGGGTAGGCTTAGAGAAGAATAAGAATAGAATTTAACCCCTTAATGCCTGAATTATGTTCCAAGCGTGTAAAAAATTATTTGTGCTGATTTTCTCTCATCATACTGACACTGAATTTTAGATATATAGTTGTTTTTAAGTTTGGACTTATTTGTTATGCTAATTACGGTATGTCGCGAAAACGCGACATCAGGCACTTATGGACCAAACAGTAATTAAATTTTTTTTTAGTCCGGGTCATTTTACTATTTTTACTGACACGTGTTTCTCTAAATATCCACACACAAACAATAGAATAGCATAAACTAAACATACGGGCATGCAAGGAGATGAAGAATCACTTGAACAATTCATGAAAACTATACTTTATTAGCTCAGGCATAGAGTTACATAACTCTGCTGCACCTGCTCACTGACTAACTCTTATGAATAGGTATTTTGAAGGCTTGCTGTCGTTGTTCTACTAAACTACAATAACACACTACATATGAACAGACTTCCTTCAATGTGTAGAGCCTTAGTTGTTCCCGGTTACGTCATTTTCGTGAACTCTTATTCAAGGTCAACTAATAAAGACGCATATTTCTCATTTGACCTATATTTGCCTTACACACAAAGCACGTGAACAAATACTGTCCCAAATGACAGTGTTCAGCCATTGTATATTCGTCCTTGCTCAATGCAGCTGCTGTAGGTACTTAGTGTCACTGCTGTGGGTACTCAGTGCCACCGGTGTGGGTACTCACTGCTATTGTTGATGGTACCCTATGTTTCCGATTCGTGCTACGGCTATTGTGCTCGACTGATTCTGTTGATTACCAATGACAATGCTGTAGCTACATATTGCCACTGGTATGGGTACTCAGTGCTGAAACAGTGAGTACTGAGTGTTGAAGCCATGTGTACTGAGTGCTGAAGCTGTGGGTACGCACTGTTGAAGCTGTGGGTACTCAGTGTTACTGCAGTCGGTTCTTGGTGTCACTGGTACCGATACAACCGTCTGGATGTACCCAATACACAACGACCGACAGCAGTAGGATAAATGTACCTATGCGCAAATGTTATGCGCTAAATCGGTATGTCGCGAAAACGCGATTGTCGGCGTTAAGGGGTTAATTGCAGGGAGATTATGCAGTATCTGGTTCAGCTAGCATTGAGAAAGCGATCAATGCCGCCGTGAAATGTTACACACTAAACTCTGAATGTCAAGGGTAGACCATTCAAATTGTAATGCCGTGTCTTGAGAACAGACCCTGTATAAACAGTAACGCCGTGTCAGGTCTGGTGTGAATAGAGCTTTCTGTTTACAAAATGTCCTCGTGCATTTTAGACTTTCTTTCTTGGGTAAGTTGTTTATTTCCAGCTCAATTTATCGATTATGTTTATCGCAACCAATAATTATAGATATAAGTGATTGTAATGAAGGTGTTATAAAACGTTAGCTATGTGTAATAGTCAGGGATCGCATTATATGTTGTGATTTGTTGTCACTTTCTATTAAAATAGCATAAAGATTTGTATGCTTTATTACAAGATGTAGCCTACAAAGTATCACACATATTGGGGAGGGGGTTCAGACTTTTGAGGGTGTGTTTTTGGAGATAGAAAAATTGTAGTTGCATAACATTTATATTCCTAAAAACAAACGTGTTACTTATTTTAAACATATTTCAATATTGTCTTTAGTTACTTTTCTAATTGTTTCTTCATCAATTTCACGTGTTGAAAGAAGGCGAAACTTCAACCAAACGCTTATCTCAATTCAATAGTTAAATCAATTACATTCCTGCGTGTTTCATGGGTGTCAATTGAAAATACAAATACCTGGGGTAACTTTTTTGTTTGTGTATCTTTGTGTAGAGATAACATATATGATTATGTATAGGCTTAAACAAGCATTTTGGAAAAAAATATAGATGACCTAATTTAATACTCAATTAGAAAATAAAATATGTTTAATTTGGCAGGTTAGCTAGAATTCACTAAAGTTGTTGACACAAATCTTTGAACCGTAACGAACTCGACCGTCGCACGGATATCACTTTTGTAATGTGTTTTTAAATGTTTAGTCGCCAACCTTAAGTCGCTTATAGAGATATTTGTTTTCCAAGTTTTATGTTTATAATTCTTTAAGTATTTTTATATTAACTGTCAGTAGATGATTCCATCTTCGAAGTAAGGATATACCTTAATTTAAAGAATCTAATAATGACAGTTTAATTAACACGATAAGTTTATTTTGAGGAACGGTTTGACTTGTTGTTGTGTTGTTGTCTTTTTTTTTAAAACAGAGATTCTACTTCAGTAAGTGTTCGTTTTGCACTTTTGCCAAGGTATAGTTTAGAGGATAAAATCTGTTTAAATCGAATGACGTAAAGTTTTGACGATCTTTCATTTTTCTTTTACCAACTAGGTGTATTACGACGATAGTGATTGTGTTCATATAATCGTCTTGTTTGTTTTAGTTTTTAGTTTAGTGGTAAGTATCATTTTTCCATAATACTATCAATTTTCTCTTAATTTATTTTTAAGTGTAAAGGGTTTTAGAAACCAACTCAATTGTTATTGTAACCTAAAAAAATTTCAATTAAAGAATTGTCCAATTCCTAACTCTACTATAAAGTAAAGGCAAGAAAAATGTATTTGTTTTTTGTCAGGTAGGCCTCTATGATTTATCATATGTACTTGTTAACCTCTTAGATTCTGATTGTATACATCGAGCAACGGTTACAAGCATTCCTTGAGAAGCAATATGCTTTTGTACGAAACGAAAGAACTCCATACCTTTTAAATGTTGACAATGATAACCAACAGTGGCCTGCAACTATTGTAGGCATTAATCTTACTGTTGAAAATGATCGCCAAGAACTAAATGAGAGAATTGTTATACCATCAGTTAACTCATCTGATATTAACATTTCATATAATATTCCAACATGCAGCCAAACAGTAAATATTCAGGACAACATTAACCCACCACCAAGCCCAACAGTAAATATTCAGGGCAATATCAACCCACCACCAAGCCAAACAGTAAATATTCAGGACAACATTAACCCACCACCAAGCCAAACAGTAAATATTCAGGACAACATTAACCCACCACCAAGCCAAACAGTAAATATTCAGGACAACATTAACCCACCACCAAGCCAAACAGTAAATATTCAGGGCAATATTAACCCACCACCAAGCCAAACAGTAAATATTCAGGGCAATATCAACCCACCACCAAGACAAACAGTAAATAAACAAGGCAACATTGACACAAAACTAAAGCAAAAAGTAATTAATAAGGGCAACATTAAATCAACAAATAGCCAATCTATAAATAATCAGGGCAACTTTATACCAAAACCTAACCAGTCAGGATGTACAAATGATCAGTGCAACATTACACCTACCCAATCAGAAAGAAAACAGAGCAACATGCCTGGAGGAAATCGAAAGCTCGATAAGAAGAAAAAGAAATCGAAAGTTGCTAAAAACAACATAAGTCAACAACATTCCAACATCTCAGTCAACGAAACAGACAAAGACAGCCCTAACTTGAAATCGAACACGTCAGTCGACACAATGGTTCCCCATGCCCCAGTCAACATAGTTATACACAGTACACCTGACTTAACCACCAACGTTCAAGTTCCTACAAGTGATCCACTGGCTTCACATTTAGTTAACGATGGTATGAGACAAGCACAACAAAATATCCAGCACCTAAAAACTGTCAGGTTGGTTACATCTTTTAAATTAGGAAAACAAATACAACTAAACATTACATATATTCATTTGAAATTAAATTTGTATGACTTATCGTTTGTTAAATTACATTAAACAATATAAATCATTGTAATGCACTCAAAGAATAAGGTATTTGGAAAGAAGTGTGAACGAAATCGTGCATTAGAACTAGGTCAAAATTGGGTTACAATATCTGCCACAAACCCACAATTGTTACGGTTAAGATGACGTTTTTCTTTAAGATTTGCAAGGTAAAGGCATCTCTTGACATGCTAATTATAGATCACTTGAAAAGAGGGACTATCCTCTTCTTCTTTGTCGTTCTTTATTTTAGTGTTGAAAGGGATTCCCCCAAACACAATTAAGTATTATGTGTCGACTGGTTATGCGCCACTGAGGCCATTCACTCAGATTTCAGCCTTTTGTTTTTGGATTTGCTTCCATAGCCATTGTCCAACCAATAACAAACTACAAGGCAGCAGTTGTTTGATTTTGGAGTTGTCTCTCCTAGAAGAGTGGCTGTCCCCAACTAACGAGCCTCATCTGGCTGAGGGTTCGAGCTCGAGACTTTTTGATTTCGCAACCATGAGCTTTACCGACTCGACTACGCCGACCTATTTGGACTATGAATCGTTCGGCCTAAGACATCGATAATTTTATATTTTTACTCTTTTACTTTTGCAATGCCCAATTACCAAATCTCATCAGGCAAGAAGACATCTGTACAAATGAGAACGGATCTTGCGAGGAACAAATTACAGTCTTTAATGACGTACAGCGTGAAGGAAGTGGGCACAAGGGTCATTCTGACTTTATAAGGTGATACATCTATTTGCTAGAAGATTACTTAATGTTATATATATATATATATATATATATATATATATATATATATATATATATATATATATATATATATATATACATGCATATGCTTATATATATATATATATATATATATATATATATATATATATATATATGCGTGTGTGTGTATGTGTATGTGTGTATATCCGGAAAAGATTTAATCATTACACTGTATGTTTTTCGTTCCCTAAAACTTTACTCGACGAGTTGAACTATTGATTTATGTTATTAGACCTACAGATCTTCTTGGGAATGAAAATTATAATAAAAGAAAGAAACATCTGTAGTAGTAAGTTCTTAAAAATAAATCGTGTTTATATATTGTTTCAGTGAGTTCCCTAGGGATACCATAGATCTTCTTAAATTACGACATGATTACGCCATGTTTTATTTATATAGATTTTTGAACTACAAGTATGATGGTAAGTTAAAGTTAAAAAATAAGCATTTTGTATTATACAGTTAACCTATAGAAGTGAATATGTGCAGTATTAATTAATATTATATAAATCACAATTTTAAAAAGCGCGAAATCCTACAATTCAATGTTGTCGACAAACACTGAGACAATGTGTATTAGTGTAAATGGGTTACAGATGGAATAGGAGAAGGAAAGCCACATTTTAAAATGTGTAAAACTAATTTAAAAACAATGACGAATTGATGTCATTGGAAAGGGTCTTTAACATTTACTGTTACTATTTAGTTCAATCAAACGCTCTAAGTCATTGAAGATATATTTAAATATTATTCCTTTAGAAACAGTTTCCTGTCCGTGACTATGTGTACGTGGCAGTTGAACATATACCTATACTAATTACCATTATAAATTTTCTTCTGCACTTGTATCAGTCCAATCAAATTTTACTTTTAAAAATTCTTGGTAGAGAGTGGCTTTTAACCTCCTACAGGTTGAATGATATATTGTTGATAGTATTTTAGCATTGTACGATATGAAATGGTCATTTACTTTCACAACCATGTTTTTCTTTCTTACATCAGCGTTTGTCAAATGTAAACCTGATAAACACCAACTTGTTTACATTGTCACCGGCTGTAGAGAAGACAAATCAAGTATCAAATATAAAGTTAAAAAACACCTTAAGCGTACAGGGTTTAAAAAAAGGTTGGTAGCAATGTATGTGTTAGTTTTAGAATTTATTTACAAGAAGCAATTTCAGAAAAACCTTACTGAACTTTTATTATATAAACTTGTACTTACTATAGCTAAATCCCAATATCAGAATTTAGTGAAAATTTTCTTTGACATAATATATATATATATATATAAATATATATAAATATATATATATATATATATATTTATATATATATATATATATATATATATATATATATATATATATATATATATATATATATATATATATATATATATATATATATAAGCATGATATCTCTTATGGATTAGCATGACATGGATATGGGAGTATGTAAGTATACGGGTAGACCTGAGTACTAGAGGGGAGGTAGAAGATGACGTAATCTCTGACAGTGATGATGAGTCAACACACCCGAGTCAACCAAACAAATCCACCATCGGGGGGAAAAAAAGGTTGGTTTCTAGCTCTCGCAAAAGCGGAGTATAATTAAACGTATTTTAAATGTAAACACCTTTCTGAAGAGTGCTTGTTGTACCATCTAGAATCGTGAATGTGTGTACTAACTCTATCTTCTAGCAAAAGGAAATACGTTGATGTCAATAAGTTTGTGTAGAAAACACGAAAGGTTTGTTTTAAAAATAACCCCTTCTACTTTTCATTGGTTTAATTAAATCTCCATTTATTTTTTATTTAGTTATAAAATACTTGACCTAAGAGGCGAAACTTTGGATGAGGCCAAAGTTGATCTAACTCGGCTTTTCCTTGATTTTAAGCAAGGTAAAATTTATCAGGTTAACTTAATTTAATCCCATTATACAAATGCAGTATCATTAAAAGAATATTTTTTTTCTCAAAATATTGATGTTATTATTATCAAAAATATTGAACACATATACTATTACAAAAACATGTATCCAGTAAAAAGTAAAGTAAAAAATACTCTTGAGATCTAGGGATTCGTTTAGGAAGGTGAAGTAGAGTTCATATGTTTCTTGACTTGGGCATATAAAGGGTAAGTGTGGTCAGCATTTTTTTTTTCAGTATCAAGTAATTTTAAAATAATTTTTTAAATGAAATATCTACTATTTCGTCGTGTGTATTAAAATGAATGGTGCTTGCAGACGTTTTTACACACATATTACATACTTAACGTTACAGGCACTCCGGCCTACTTCATGGTTCTAGTTGATAACAACGATGACACGGCTGAACTTAAAAGTATGATAGAAAGCTACTTCAAAAAGTATGGTGTTTCCTTTAGGTACGATTTAGTCCATTCTACCCAATCTGTTTTGTTGTATAGCAAGTTTTGTGTTAAATTGTTATCATGAACGAAGTATTGACTTAATTATGTCATTCAGAATATTAGATACTAACCCCCACATAAAAGGGAAAAAAAGATTTGTGTATTTCTGATTCAAAAGTTAATTTTTCTTTTCAAAGTTACATACCCGTCAAAACCAATGAAGCTGAGTACGACCGAGCAGAGAAAAAGACGTCATCACAACACTTTGGAGATTTTTCAAAACAACATTCTCGCTCTGGTGGTTTCTGGCCAAGCAAGGATGATATATTTGTGTATACACTTTTTGAAGACTTTAAAGATTATTATCCTTCTTAATTTATTTAAGAAATTAAATTCGAAACAGCTAAATTAATTTTTAAAAAAACGTTTTAATAACAAGCAGTTATGTAATAACGCAATAAAAAGTAGAAAATAAATTATACACTACTATTTAAATAACTATAAAGAAAAGCGTGGGTCACTTTAGTTTCTAATGGATACCTTAACTAATATTTCGGGTCAAGGGTCAAAGCCGTCCCGCGTCTACCTGCTCAAGCCAAGAGAGTGGTCTGCCACTAAAGCCTTATTTTGTAGGGCCTAGTGGTAGAAGCGGTTACACGTCTGACTTGATGCATGGAAGGCGATGGCGATAGGTGCCGTGTGGAATGGTAGGTTCGAAACCCGTTGGTGTCTGACTGCTTGTCTTTACTTGGACTATTTTCTGTACCTTTGTCTACCCTTGGCGTTGAAATATCACTCTCTGTTAATATTGCTATTTCAGTTACAACGCCTGCTTCCACCCCCTACACGTTTACACCCATTTAAAGGAAGCTACTATTTTTCTGTGCCATCGTCTCAGTATGTGTGTGTGTGTCGTTTGTATGGTCGAATAATGGTCCTTGTTGTGTTTATGAAAGCTAGCGGTCTGACCTTTCGGGTCAAGGGTCAAAGCCGTCCCGCGTCTACCTGCTCAAGCCAAGAGAGTGGTCTGCCACGAAAGCCTTATTTTGTAGGGCCTTGTGGTAGAAGCGGTTTGACGTCTGACTTGATGCATGGAAGGCGATGGCGATAGGTGCCGTGTGGAATGGTAGGTTCGAAACCCGTTGGTGTCTGACTGCTTCTCTTTACTTGGACTATTTTCTGTACCTTTGTCTACCCTTGGCGTTGAAATATCACTCTCTGTTAATATTACTAATATTTAGGAAGAGACTCACGCTTTTCTTTGTAATTATTTAAATAGTAGTGTAAAATTTATTTTCTACTTTTTAGTGCATTATTACATAAACGCTTGTTATTAAAACGATTTTATGAATTTTTTTTCAGTACTTTGAATTTTTAAAATTTCCAATATAGTTGCATGACTAAAAACCATTGCGCACCTAATGAACGTGATGATGCGTGTATAATAGTGCGGAATAGTTTGATGAGACAGCCTACTAATTTGGACACGATTTTTACGTCATAAAAAAATTAGGCATCAAATTTAATGTCAGATTGCATTGTCTTCGTGTCTTGACCCACGTGCCAGCTTTGAACCGCATCTGTCAGTTAGAAGTGCCAGAATTTTCGCTAGGGCGTTTCGATCTTTAGAGACAGACTGAAAACAGACCAACAGAGACAGTGAGTTAAATAAAACCTTGTAAAAACACAATTTAATGTTATTTTGGGGCGTTCAACACAATCACATATGGTTATATATATGAGAAATAAATAATTATACAACTTAATTATTATGAAAATACACTTTCTTAATCACGGTTATTAAGATTTTAACGCTTCTAATGCTATCAACATTTACTACAATGAAGGCCATAGACATATGTTATTGACTATTAATGGCAAAATAAAATTGTTGGCCAACCAGTTCGTTAAGTTTAAAGTTGCATTTTATATTCAACTCGATGTTGCATTTATTAACATTTTAAATCGACCTTACCATATTTCTATGTCATTGTTTCTTTGGAAATTATATTTTTATAACAGCATGCTTTGATGCTGTTTGTATTTCAGCTTTTATATTTAAATACATTTATCCCTTTGTGCTATTGGTTGAAGTAAAAATACTTTTTTTATTCTTTTAAAGTGAACCAGAGGATAAAAAAGTGGACGTAAGGAGAATGAAGATGAAAGATGCACTTGATAAAGTTGTACATTTTATAGACCGCATGACGAAAAGTTAGTCGATCTCTCAATATTTTTAGTTCTTGCTCTCGTTATAGTAATAGAAAGATGTAATCGATTATGACTTTAAAATATTGTTGAGCTTAAGAGTTGATTTATTCATCCAGTCAAATACTGGCTTTATTTAACACCGATATATCTTCTATATTGTGCTTTAAGTCAAAATCTGTAAAGACAATGTTTAAAATTAAAATACGCAAACGGAACTACTTGTTCCAAAAAAAATAAGTTAAACATTTCTATGCTTAAACTAAAGTAAAAAGTGGAAAATATCAAATCTCGGACATGAGTATCCATATGGTTGATGAAGTAGAGTTCATAGGTTTCTAGACCCCGGCATATGAAGCAATGATGTGGTCAGCACTCTCTCTAACGTAAGTAAGAAACCCATGAAAGCTGGACATATGTATGGAAGTCTTGTAGATACAAGTCCAGAACTCTAGCTCTCTGCATGCCGACCACGCCGTCCTACAGGTCATTGAAGACAACCCTAGCATTTTCGCTCTCTTATTTATTTGATTTTAATGGGAGCATTATCCCTGCACCTTCAACCATTTAATTTGACGACCACCCCTCCCAGCCTTGTTCACAAATCACTATTGCATTTCAATCAGCAACTGGAAGTTATATACTTTTCAACTACTCTAACATTCGTGTTAATCGTCCTTTACCTACGTCACATTTTGGATATTATTTGTGTTGTGTAACTTTTACGTATGAGCATTTTTTTCTTTTCAGTATACAGGCAAACAAAGAACGAGGCAGACAGATATATCTATATCGTTACTGGTTACGGGAGTTTATTTGGGAATAAACAAATAAAACGAGGCATAGTTGTATATTTCAAAATGTATGATTATGGCAAAAGGTAAATTAAAACTGTATATATACACATATATGATTATGGCAAAAGGTAAACTGAAACTGTATATACAAATAAATAAATAATTAGCCTTGTATTTTACAAATATTGTTTCCTAGTGTTAGCACATATTTCTTTTAGAACTACAATGTTATTTTAGAAAATATTAAAAGTTTCGATTAAATCTATTTAAAAAGTATGTGTTAATAGATGGATACATTATTCAAAGAAAGGTATCATTTAAATTTAACGTTCGTTAAATATATTTCATTTCTAGATGCCATTACTTTTCTAGATTTTATTTATATATTTGTTTAAATTTAAATCGCGGGGCTGTTTACTAAAAATATCAAAACAAAATCGCTCTCTGGCTGTCTTAAACAAAACATTTTACTCATGCATCTACTCTGAACCAGAAAATGACACGGTAAAATATGTAAAACAGACATGAAATCCTTATATATCTGCATCCTTTAGTTATGTAGAAAATAATGCTTGTGTTATAAACAAATTATACCATTTACTCTCACACCTATTTATTTATTTAACTTGTATATAATAACTGGATTAAAATGATCTTAATAGGAATAATATATATATATATATATATATATATATATATATATATATATTATATATATTTATATATATATATATATATATATATATATATATATATATATATATATATATATATATATATATATATATATATATATATATATATATATTCGTGTGTAGGTACATTTGGATCAATTCTGGTCTAATGATGGTCGACTTAAAAGAAGATATTAACACATACAATATAAATTCAACCATTAGAAAAAAACGTAGATTTGTTTATACACCCAACTGGTAAGTTTTCAAAACTTCTATCACACATGCAACTTAGAAATATAGTGTCGATACACACACACATACACACACACATGTACACACACACACACATATATATATATATATATATATATATATATATATATATATATATATATATATATATATATATATATATATATATATATATATATATATATATATATATAGATAGATAGATAGATAGATAGATATAGATATATATATATTAAATATAAATATAAATCGTTCTTAGTTCCTAATTTAAGTTATTGATTGACTGCTTAAATCTATAAAATGCTTTTTTAGTGAACCTGAAGACAAAAAACTCGATATAAGAGGGAAGAAAAAAAATGAAGCAATGAATGAATTCCGTATTTTTATTGGTAACCTACTGGAGAGTAAGATTATTATGGTTTCTATTTTTTCATGCAGCACAAGAAATATTAATTGACAATTTTGATCTATAACATTTGAAGCATATTTTATTAGAACCAAAAGTCTCAAATTTAAATAAATTTGACTTCGTTCTTGGAGAATTAAATATTTTTTTACCAATTAAATAGATGTAAACAGTTTAAAACACATTTTTTAAAAGTATATCGCTACAATCAAATGTGTTTTATTTTGATTTGTCACTTCTAAGCTGTTTTAAATTAATAAACAGCTTACAAGACCACAGGCAACAAGGAGGACAGGTACGCCTATGTTGTCACTGGATACAAGGCCAGCAACCCTGAGATAGGCCCCGTGCTGAAGCCTGCTGTACAAGATTATCTGGTGACAAATGGCTATGAGACAAGGTCATACATTTTTAACACATACATACTACTAAACACTACAGATGGTAGTAATTATGTACATTTTGTCAGTGGCGTAGCTAAGTCGATTGTCACTGGGTGCGGCAACTCATTGTGTCATCCCCCAAAATAGTGTCACCAGGTGCGGTTCGTATACCCCTCCCTGCCTCGCGACGCGTATGCTTTTTGTATATTTTACAATAGTACTGTAGAGCAAACGAAATACTTTAGGTGAATTTACTATATTTTAATTATAAGGTACTTAACTCAACCGGATAATTTTAATGTATTGAAAACTAGCCAAGAGTATACAGTATAAATGAAAATACAGACACTAAACAGCTAAACTAAACTCTTTATTACAAGAGTATTGCAAGTCTTGTTGGTAGAGGTTTTTTTTTTAAGACATTGATAACAGCAAGCTTTATTGCATTTAATATTAAACAATATAATGAACTAAAAATTTAAAAATTCAATGGTTTACTTTGGAAATAGAACAATTCATCCCTATTTAAACATCTATGAAAATTATTATTTTTTAATTTTAAGCAGTGGTTGAGAGTTAAATAATCACGTTTTTAATATTGTCTTCTCCAGACACGAGTGGTTCAACAATGGTGGACTTGTTATGATAGATTTGGAGGAAGATGATGATAAGGATGATGTTACTAGCGAGGGGGAGGATGTGGATGATGTTACTAGTGAGGATGATAACGATGATGTTAGTAGTGATATAGATTGTGTGAATGATGTTACTAGTGAGGATGATAACGATGATGTTAGTAGTGATATAGAATGTGTGGATGATGTTACTACTGAGGATGATGTGGATGAAAGTTACTAGTAAGGATGATAACGATGATGTTAGTAGTGATATAGATTGTGTGAATGATGTTACTACTGAGGATGATAACGATGATGTTAGTAGTGATATAGAATGTGTGGATGATGTTACTAGTGAGGATGATAACGATGATGTTAGTAGTGATATAGATTGTGTGGATGATGTTACTACTGAGGATGATGTGGATGAAGGCTACTAGTAAGGATGATAACGATGATGTTAGTAGTGATATAGAATGTGTGGATGATGTTACTACTGAGGATGATGTGGATGAAAGTTACTAGTAAGGATGATAACGATGATGTTAGTAGTGATATAGATTGTGTGAATGATGTTACTACTGAGGATGATAACGATGATGTTAGTAGTGATATAGAATGTGTGGATGATGTTACTAGTGAGGATGATAACGATGATGTTAGTAGTGATATAGATTGTGTGGATGATGTTACTACTGAGGATGATGTGGATGAAGGCTACTAGTAAGGATGATAACGATGATGTTAGTGGTGATATAGATTGTGTGGATGATGTTACTAGTGAGGATGATAACGATGATGTTAGTAGTGATATAGATTGTGTGGATGATGTTACTAGTGAGGATGATGTGGATGAAGGCTACTAGTAAGGATGATAACGATGATGTTAGTAGTGATATAGATTGTGTGGATGATGTTACTAGTGAGGATGATAACGATGATGTTAGTAGTGATATAGATTGTGTGGATGATGTTACTACTGAGGATGATGTGGATGATGTTACTACTGAGGATGATGTGGATGATGTTACTACTGAGGATCATGTATATAATGTTATATATTTTTACAGTTATACTTATTTGGAATAAAATACATTATAAAATAATTATTGGTCAAAACCTTATGTGCTTTACTACAAATTTTACGATATTAGTGAGTGAGACATAATAACTAATTAGCTAAATTCCGACATATTTAAAATGACATACGCAACCAATACCTATCAGCAAAATTAAAACCAAATTCTATACTTTATTAGTCAACACAACACCATTTTAAATGCAGACACTTATTAAGAGACTTAAAGTTTCCGTTAAAACCCCGGTTGTTCAATGGTCATTAAGTAGTTTTTTTCTTAAGTAATTTGTATTAGTTTGACCGAGAAAATTGCATACATTTCATAGCGTACCTCTTAATAAGTAGAGTTATAGAATCTAGATCTAAATCAAATTTGAATGAAACAGTTGATTTATTACAAGCTTTCATTTAACTCACTGTCTCTGTCGTTCTGTCGTAAGTCGTTAGTCTGTCTAGATCGAAACACCCAAGTGAAATTTCGGACAATTCTAACTGACAGATTTATTTCAAATTTGACACGTGGGTCAAGACATTAAGACAATGCAATATGACATTAAATTTGACTTAATTGGTTGCCTGATTATTTTTTTTATAAATTAATTAAAATTGTTTCCAAATGAGTAAGCTGTCTCATCAAACTATTCCGCACTTTTAGACACGCGTCATCACGTTCATTAGGTGCGCATGGTTTTTAGTTATGCAACTCTATTGTTAATTTAAAACATTTAAAGTACTGAAAAAAATCATTAAAAAACGTTTTAATAACAAGCTTTTATGTAATAATGCACTAAAAAGTAGAAAACAAATTATACACTACTATTTAATAAACTATAAAAAAGCGTGTGTCTCTTCCTAAATATTAGTAAAGGTATCCAATAGATATTAATAGATTTTAATTATTCTAAAATTTGATGTGTTGTATGCTTTCAATAGTTTAAATATGTGGCATGTGACTTCCTTGTTTATTGCGTTCTTGTCACAACCATGAACACTTTTCCAGTTGGATAATTATAAATGTGGTTTTACATTCGAATTTTGCTTTGCTTTGCTTTGCTTTACTTTTATTTTATTTCTTTAAATAGAATTTTGTTTATACATTTAAAACATCCACAAAATTGTTTTCAACAAAAGTCCGTATTTTTAAGTTCTCCATATATCGCTGAACATACTGATCTCTTAGCTCGGGATATGCGGACAAAAAGAGAGACAGTGAGAGAGAAAGAGAGAGAGAGAGGGGGGGGGGGTACGCACTTAGGCTTTTATATATTAGGATGACATTTCACTGTCCCTAGTCGTAGCCCTTACTAACACAGCACTGCCCTCTGCATATATTTGACATTGTTGGTAAAGTATTTTGTATTAAATAGCTAAATAACATAGGCCCTACATTAGTTTGTAATGCCTTTTATTAAAATATTAATTATTAATTAATAATGATAATAATAAATTGCATCTCCTTCAATCCAATAAAAAGATAATAACATTTACCTTTTCTGAAGCGTCTATAAATCGCCTGCTAATTAATTAATAATTAATATTTTGTAAATATTAATTAGGATCCTTCAGCTTTTAATTATAGTTACAATGATTTTGACTTTGACCTGGATGGCACGGCTTAAATATTTGTGGTTAATGGTGGAACATAATTTACGATTAACACAAACAAGAAAATATGATTTGGCCCATCAAACAAGGGCTTAACATAACACAGAGATATTTGATGAAAAAGTTATTAAAACGCTGTAGTGTTGTTTTTTTCTGTTCAAAAGAATTGTCGATATTTAAAACTGTTCTGCTCTTCAATATCTCTGGCAGATGCGGCGTCGATTGCATCGATATTATGTTGTAATGCTACAGGGTGTATTGCTACAGGTTGTATGGATGCAGGGTTTATGGCTGCAGGGTGTATGGCTGCAGGATGTACGGCTGCAGGTTGGATGGATGCAGGGCTTATGGCTGCTGTAAAGCCACATATTGTATGTAAGCTGGTGCTACACATTCTGAGTCGATCACTTCATCAGAGGATGAGTCACTGACATCACCATCAGATGTGTTGACTGGCGACAGCTGCAGAGTTCCTCCAGTAGAAGCAGACGTCTCCTCTGTAACAGTTTGAGAATCATCTGGAACCTGGAGAATATTTGATTTCAGATCAAATGTAGATGAAGGGGGTCGATAATAAACAATAGCATAGGCAACGTTTGTGGGGTCCAAAATTGCCCTGCTAGTTTAAAAATTTCCCCCTCAAACCTGATAGTCTATGGGGCGAGTGAAGTAGAGTTCAACTGTTTCTGTGATCTCGGCATATGAAGAGATAATGTCGTCAGCACTTTGCCCAGCCACGTTAAGTTTCCCTTACGTCAATTCAGTGGCATAGCGAGGTCGGGTGTCACCAGGTGTGGCACTTAATGGTGTCACCCCCAGAGGCGTAGCGACCCTTCCCGGGGACAAACTTTCAAATTTTTGATTTGCACCCCCCTCTCCTCAAACTTTCGATTTGCACCCCCCCCCTTCCCCCTCAAGTTTTTCTCTATATATTTTGCTATTTTTTGCCTTGGTGTCACCCCCCTAAATGGTGTCACCCGGCGCGGTCCGCACCCCGCCCCCCCCCTTGCTACGCCCCTGCGTCAATAAGATACCCATCAGAGTTGGGTGGAATCAGGGACTTCCTACGGGCTTGAACCAGGATTCGAACTCGAGACTTTCGGGCGGGTTAGCTGTCACATAAAATAGGATGTTAGAGCTGAGTACTTGGTTAAGTAGTAAAAAGATACAATCAGACAGTCTGATAGCAGAAGTAGTGTCTACGATAGCAGACGACAGTAGAGTTAGGAAGAGGAGTTAATTGGTTCGTGCATTTAATAAATAAAAGTCGAACTTTAAACTGTGTAATGTGCTTGTTGTATTGACACTGGAGAAATCCTTCGGAAAGCCGTACATATTAGAACGGTTGACCCCTACAACCTTCTCTCTGGGGATTATGGTGTGATTTAAGTTGATTAACAAAAATTTAAAGAAGACAAGTTGAAAAGATCTGTACCTCCATTCAATCTTTTTTAAACGTTGAGTTTAGGGTCGTGTTATTGTTTTTTTTACCAATGTTTTTTTTCATTCCTTTGATTCCTTATCTATTCATTTAACACTCAGCACCCACACCAAACTAAAAATATATTCCTCGAAATGAATCAGCAATAGGAACTACGCCCTAGTTATGGTTACAGTGTAACATTAAATAATCGCTAAAAAAGAAATATGTAAAGAAAGACTCAGATTTTGATAAGGTTACTATATTAGAGTTAGAGAAGATAAACCTTTTACAAGACATGGAACAGAAGGGCAATGTAAAATGACGATAGAACTGTAAAGAGTTCAAAAAGAAGCCAAATAAAAGCAGAACCAACGGAAACATACGACCGCACATCAGACGTTCAGTAGAGATGTAATGATGGTTGTAATAAGGTCTGGGAAATATCTAAATGTCTAATTTTTTCCTTGTTAGGTTAGAATTAAAATTGTAACAATGAAACCTTAAAAGAAAAATATACTAAAAAAATTCATAAAAAACGTTTTAATAACAAGCTTTTATGTAATGATGCACTAAAAAGTAGAAAATAAATTATAGACTACTATTTAAATAACTATAAAGAAAAGCGTGGGTCACTTTAGTATCTATTGGATACCTTTACTAATGTTAAGGAAGACACCCACGCTTTTCTTTATAGTTATTTAAATAGTAGTCTATAATTTATTTTCTACTTTTTAGTGCATCATTACATAAAAGCTTGTTATTAAAACGTTTTTTATGAATTTTTTTTCAGTACTTTACATGTTTTATCTACAATAGAGTTACATGACTAAAAACCATTGCGCGCCTACTGAATATCACGTTCAGTAGGCGCGCAATGGTTTTTGAACGCAGCCATTACGTGGTCGTGATGGCGCAGCTATTGATGACGCGTGTGGTGTGGTTGGCTAGACATGCCTACTAATTCGGTCCAAATTTTAATTAATTCATAAAAAATCAATTAGGCATCCAATTAAGTCAAATTTAGTTTCAGATTGCATTGTCTTCATGTCTTGACCCACGTGCCAACTGTGAATCGTGTCGGTCAAGTAGAACTGTCCGAATTTTCACTCCTGCGTATCCGTCTAGACTGACGACAGACAGAGGAAGTGAGTTAAATAAAAGCTTGTAAAAAACACTAAACCACAATTCTAATTATTTGTTTCATAAAAATAAACAAAGCAAAAATATTACAAATTTAGCCTTTGTGTAATGTCGGGTTTCTTTTTCTACTTAGCAAACCTGTATATAAGAGACATCGTGTCGTAGCAGTAGAGTTCCAAACCGCTAACTCGATAATCTTTAATCCTAATCCTGGTTTAAATCAGTAAATCGTCACCGATTCCACCAAGATTTTATGGGTACCTAACTAACTTTAGGGAAAGCTAAGACAGCTGGGCGTAGTGCTGACCACACTACCTCTACATATGCCGAGGTCACACAAACAGGTAAACTCTACTCTCCAATATAACGTCATATTCTAAATGGGAAATATACTTTTAACCCTGTAGATTTGCAATATAAGGATACACTCACCATACGTTTATGGAAGTGGTGGGCGCCTCGTACCTGAAAGAAGCAGTTTAGATTAGTATATGTATTAGTTGTTATAAAAAATGTGTATCTCTATGCGTACGTGTTTATTTGGTCTTTCTTAACTAAATGCTTGCCTCTATCAAAAGTTAGATTTTAAAAAGTATACGACGATTATACTTACCAAGACCCATGGTACGCAGCAAAAAAGGCACAGAACCCACATCTTGGTGACGTGAGTTGAGTCAAGCCTGCCTGATAAAGAAGTTAAACCGCTTAAAATTGGTAACGTGTTACTATATCTTGCAGCGGGGGTGGAAGCAGGCGTTGTTATCGTAATAGCAATGTCAACAGAAAGCTGATTGGCTGAAGCGTGTTTACGCTCCAGACTTGCTTGGGTGCCGCGTGGAATGGTTGATTCGGATCCCGTTAAAGCTTCTCTGTCTTCACTTGGACTATACTCTGTAACTCTGAAATATCACCTTCTGTTTACATTGCTGTTTCAGTAATGACGCCTGCTACCACGTGTGTGTCGTTTGTGTAACAGTTAAATGTAGATGAATGTATATTTCGAGTGTGTATCTTTAAAAAAGCCGATATGGATCTAGAATGTAAGGTGGGTGTGCGCATGCGCGAAGGAAAGGAAGCGAGAGGTAGATAGCGCGGAGACAACATGGCGATATTTGGGAGTGAAGGCAATCTTCTTATGAACCAATAAAATTATGGAAATTAACAGAACAGTGTTGATTTTTGTTTTGAGTGTGTGCCATGAGATAGGTAGGAGAAAAGGCTGTGACAGTTTGTACGGTCAATGTTGTGTTTATGAGGCCAACGGTCAGTTGGTACCTTTAAGGGTCAGAGTTCAAGCCTGCTGGCGTCTTCCGTGTACACGCTGTGATTGTGGTCAGCCAAAAGCCGTACAATTGTAGAGCTGATGTGCTGAAGTGGTTACACGTCTGACTTGAGGAATGATGAGGCGATTTTGCATTGCGGGGAATGGTAGGTTCTGATCCCGCTTGGATACAATTGTCTTCTGTACCTCTGTCTTTTCTCTGTCTACATTGCTATTAGTATATCTTCCATTATCGATACAACGAAATCTAAACGTTATGGAATATATAACTGAAGAGCCTAGTGTTGTAAGTAAGTTAGTCATAGTTTAGGAAAATCAGACCCAACAATTATTTTTAATCATCTTGTTTAACCAAATCTTTTGTACACAAATAAATATTTAAAAATATGTATTCCTGTGCCTCTTTCAAACAAATTACTAAAATAAAAATGTTATGTTTTAAAAACGATCAAAATATTTTAAATAATGTTATTACTTTTAGCAGTGAGGTCTCCAATTTGTTCAGTTTGTGAAGGAAGCTGGGCATAGTGCTGACCACACTAGGCTTAATATGCCATGAAAATAACACATCGACTCTACTTCATCTGCTCAGATGATCCCTCGGTGTAAAGAGGAATATTTACAACATATTAAAACAAACATATAAAAAACATGGGCTTTACAATGACAAGTATCAAATGTCTAAGAAAAAAGCTAATGTGTGTATGACAGTAGTATGTTCATAATTAATGTTAATGTTCCATGAGTATATCATACATGTTACTTCAATCAATGTTATCGTGATTCCATCAGTTTTAATTTCATGCGTAAAAATATAATCACGAATGCATAGTTTTTTACTAATAATATTTGAATATATTTAAATGTATTTATACATAGCTTTGAAATTATATATATATATATATATATATATATATATATATATATATATATATATATATATATATATATATATATATATATATATATATGTCGACTACCATAATGCTCCAAAAAAATACTGATTCACATTATTAATTTGAATAAATACCAATAAATATTAGATTTTATTTAGGAATGATTCAGGTTTAGAGTTGCAAAGGATTAGAATGTTGTTTTGAGTCATTTTAGATTGTTTTAGCTTGCTAAAAATGCTTGAAATCGAGTACATTGAAAATACACGTTTATTTCATATCTACTTTGTGGCTACAATTATAGTATGTCGTCCCATCGATACACCATAAAATGTAAATTAAAAAGTAAATTTACCCGCATGAAAATGTTTAAATACCGCACCTGCAAAATTGCACCACAAGGTAGCAGAGTCTAATGTATATCACAACTAATTTAACTACAATTATAACGAAGAAACAACATTGATACGAAAAATCACTTCTCGGCTTTCAGTGAAGAAATACTCTCTCATACTCCGATTTCTGCACCACTAGACATGCACTGTGAGAAAACAAGAATTTCAGTATTCCAAAACCTAGCCAAAGTAAACCATGTTTTTTATGGTTCAATATAAAAGATGATTGCTTTAGTAATTATGTTTGTCTAGTTGTTGAAACTCTGCTGATAAACTTTTTATTACACCGATATGATAGTTGCGCTGTTTGTTTAGTTATCCGCGTGTTAATCAGCGTTGGTCCCTAGAATAAAAGTAGTTTTATATTTCTGTTTTATGATGTTGAGATTTTTATTTAAAACAATATTATTGATTTTGGGATTTTTTTACTGTAAATGTAAGAAATCACTATTTCATGATTAGCATGAAGCAAAGCTGTGTGCTAACCAGTGTTCCTTCCTGACGACTTTTTTCTCCTGGGGGTGGGGGGGGGGGGGGGGGTGGAAGGAGTGGGCACTTGAAATTGTCGGGGGTGGGGATGGCGGACTAACATTTCCAGAAGGGGGGGGGGGGGTTGCGGACACTGTTAAAAGTATATATTTTCTATATAAAATCCATTTCTTTCGGGGGGAGGGGGCGGTAAACTTTCTTCGGGTTAGCCTCCCCCCCCCCCCCGAAGAGATGCCTAGAAGAAACTCTGGGAGTAGGATACATATTGGAATGGTGTTTGTTGAAGGGGAAGGTGAGGTAGATGGAGCTGAAACAATGCTGTGTGTTACCTTATTGGCCGAAAAAATCAATCGGTGATGACGTGAATGTGTTTTGTAGATCTAGCGTTCCTGTGGTTTAGATACGTCTACTGTACAGAGTACTTGTCAGGGGTCTTAGAATATCAACGTTAAAATATAAACGTTAAAATATAAACGTTAAGAAATCAACGTTAAAATAACAACGTTAAAATATAACCGTTAAAATAACAAGGTTAAAATATCAACTTTAAATATCAAGGTTAAAATATCAACGTTAAAATAGCAACGTTAAAATATAACCGTTAAAATATCAACTTTGAAACAATTACATTTTAACAACAGCATCAAAATATTAGCTTTAGTAAATGAATTTAGAACACCGATATCACCTATGAAATTTAAAAAATCATTTTTAAACCATGTATATCACTTTTAAATGTACTTTTTTTTTAAACATCAACTTTAAAATATCATATTTAAAATATCAACTTTAAAACATTAACTTTAAATATCACCCTTTAAACATCGATATCCTCTTTAAAACTTAAAACCCAAATATCAACTTTAAAATAAAGAATTTGAAACGGAAACATTAAGAAAATCAACCAACAACCTTAAAAACAACTTTTCAATGTCCACCAACAGCCCCTGATAATCTGATAAAACCCAACAATTAAAACATGAACGGGAATAAAACAAATGCTGTAAAATCATTAACTTGTACTTCAACGCTACTTAAAACAAGGAAGTAAATAGACTTAGTGTGACGTCTATTGGTTCATAAAATATTAGTCTTCGGCAAATTTTCAAGAGGAAATTTGTAACAATATCATTGTAAAAGGAATTCGCTTTAAGAGAAAGGGTGAGTCGACTTCAGTTGTGATGTCGTGTATATCACAAGATACTGAAAATGTCGGTGGGGGCGTGTTATACACATCGCGTTGTGTTGGTATTTTAGCAAATAAAAACTGAGACAATGATTCACCACAATTTATAGTATTTATAAAGTCTCTTAACTTCAGTAAGATCTCCATTTTTACTTTCTCGTATATACGTAGTATAGAGAAAGTATTGTAATCGTGCAAAAAAAAAAATCGAGATTTTTACAAATCTCGACGTTTTACACATCACTGTCACGGAAAAACATAATTTTGCAATCTTGTCCGTATGTCTCTGTGTGTGTGTGTGTGTCTGTGTGTCTGTGTGTCTGTGTGTCCGTGTGTCCGTGTGTAAACACGATAACTTGAGTACCGTTACTGCTAGGTTGATTAAATTTCATATATAAGTATTTTATCAAAATCGTAGATCCGTATCAACTTTTGAGCGATTTCCGATAACCGGAAGTGGTACTTTTTCTACTTTGAATTTTTCGAAAGCCTATAACTTGAGTACTATTTCAGATAGATAAATGAAATTTCACATGTAAGTAAAAGATCTAATTCTCTACCTTCTGTTAAATTTTGAGTAATTTCCGTTGACCGGAAGTAGTAATTTACGCTACTTCCGATTTCTCAAAAAACTAATGTAAATTTTAAAAGTACTAATAATATTGCGCACTATTATGCGCTTTTTTATTTCGCGTTCACTTGGTGTGCAATTAATTTGTCTACGAGATTTTATTCTATTTTTAAAACTTTAAGTATATAAAATGGATTAAAAATCATGTCTATAGCCCGAGTTCCCATTCCCTGTTATTTTATATAAAAATATTCGAGAAAGTTTAGGGGAGATCACTCGCGGTATATTTTACTTTAACTTTTTTTTTTTTTTTGAAAATTGACAATTTCGATGGGTCGGTTAAGTGCATGTTGCTAAACTAAAAAATCTCGAGTTCGAACCCCCGGGCAGATGAGGCTTGATAGCTGGGGACAGCAGAGGCGTAGCGACCCTTCCCGGCGCCCGGGGACAAACTTTCGATTTGCACCCTCCCCCCTCGAACTTTTCATTTGCACCCCCCTCAAACTTTTCAGTTGCACCCCCCCCCCCTCAAACTTTCAATTTGGCGTCCCCCCCCCCCCCTTCCCCCCCCCCCCCCCTCGCTACGCCTCTGGGGGACAGTAACCCTTCTGTAAGAGATAACTCCAAAGCTGTAAAACGATTGTGCATTTGATAGACTATTCCTGGAGTAATTTCTTTAAAGAATATTGATATATGTAACACGTTTGTTTACTAACTTGAATCAGCAGAGTGATGTAATATACTCATCTCTTAATTGGATAACTAGTCGAGAAGTGACGAACACGACATTGGGTCTAAATGAAAGTCAGTTCTTGGTCCACACTGGTAAGGTTAATACTTTTCAGTCTGATGCAATCTACGATA